ACTCTTCATAAAGTTGCAGGAAACACCTACACAAAACTGACTCCACTTTGTTACTTCTACTTCCTTCTACTTCTGGGAAATGTCCTTTTTTGCTGACCCAGCTTACTGGAATTTATGAGCTGTAAGGTGACTATTCTAAAGAAAAAAAAAAGAAAAGTTTCTCAGAGGAAGGATATAATCAGAAGGTGAAGGCACACAGTTGTCTTATGGGACCTGCCTCCACATGCTGTTCTTAAAAAAATGTGTATGTTATAAATTAAAACTCCTGTGGACAATATCCCAGCCATTCATGATCTGCATTCATGTCTGATTCATTACAACTGCTTTAGTCAGATTGCACTACTATCATTTTAAAAATAAACTTGCAACTCACAGAGAAAAAAAAATAAATACAGACACAGAGAAAGCTCTTTAGTTTTAAACGGGTTCCCTTGTTCTGGTAAATAGCTAGTCCAAATTCTTTGACTTATTTGAGTTTGTTATTTACTGTAAATCTCTATGCAGATTACAGGCTTGGAAGCAGAAAACTGCTTTTGCTTATTTATCTGCCCATTGAGGGATAGTCCCAGCTCCTCATGACTTGGAAATTTTGGCATTAACTGAAAGAAGAAAAGACATCCTTGTCCAGGCAAAGGAAAATAAATTTAAAAATGCAACTGATGTTTTGATCCTAATAGATACACACATCAGAAATGTCTGATGAAAATATTTAATGATTGTTTAGCACAGTGTAAAAAATCTGGGAGGAAAGTTATGGAGGTTCCATGTAGGATCATCCCCTAGCAATGGGCAGGACACGGATGCATGGATATGCAAAGGAACAAGTATTTTACTTCCCTGACAAGATTCTAATTATTCTAAATATGTGTTTGTGAGTGTAGATATATAGATATATGTCTGTGTATGTATACAGAGAGAAAATTTCCACAAAGCAGACACTTTCTGGTCACTTTCAGTGCCTCACATGTTTTGTCTGCTCTTTTGCTGTTCATTCAGGGAGAAAGTGGCTTGTGTGCACTCCCAGCACTAGTAGGACCACGCACAGGAATCCTCTCTAGGTGATGCCAAGGTGAACAGCAATCTGCAAGCTGGTCTTGAGCAGGTAAAACAGGATTCTGCATGAGGAGCACGTGGGAGGGCTCCCCAGAATAGACAGTGTCAGGTAGGTTTGTGTTAGATAACTGAATCTGAACAAATAATGAAAGAAAAATTCATCCTTGAGCACAGGTGTCAGAGATGAAACTGTAATGATAAACACCCTGGTGACACTGCTGATTGTAAGGTTCACTGGCTGAACTCAGTGCTGAACTGAAGCTGTACAGTTACAAAGGCTAGAATTTGACTTGGAGCATATTATGTATCCCAGAGCCAGGTCTATCTGTTGTGATAGGTAAAGGAAAATGTATCACATACATGTTTGTAATTTCCTAATCTCACAGCTAGGAAAATCAGCCTTTCACAGACCTTTCCCTCTTGGAGACTGAGGCCAGAACAAGAGGATGTGTCAATAATATGTTTGTTAAGCAGGCTACCAGTGAGCAAGTTGTTCATCTCTGCTGATATATTCCTAACATCTTATCTTCTATAATCTGTCATTACTCTGTTGATGCTGATTTGGAGGGTACTGCAAGCATTCAGTCCAACTAGCCTGTGTAGCTACTTGTATCTCTTTTTTCTGTGCCTCCATCTGCTTGTTTTCCTGGTGAGATGTTTGCTGCTGTCTAGCAGGTAGGACCAGGAGCACAGCTCTGGGGACACTGCCATGCTGTCTGTGTTACACTGATGGCCAGAGGCTTTGGGGATAATCAGTGTGAAAAAGTCTTGCAAGCACAGGCTGTGCCTCAAGGAGCTTCTAATCTAAGCAGAATCCAAATATAATACAGAGTGTAGAATATGAGAGGTGCATGCAGACTGAGCCAAAATCTAGCAACAGATACTGCAATATTTCTGTTGTCCTACTTGTTTAAGGATCAGGTCCCACTCTGAATTATGAAGGCCTAACAGTTACTTTTTATAAAAATGCTCAAGGTATCTGATTAAACACCTCCAGTTTATTTGCCTGCCCACTACCTGTAGGGAGTTTATCCTCCACATCAGGAAAGGGCACATCGCTGTGCTCCATGTGTGTGGGTAGAGGGACCTGCTGCCCTTCTTTTGTAACCCATGACTCTCCAGAGCAGCAGCCAGCCCTGTGTGACCTTCAGTCAGTCAGACAGCTGACAGGAACTCTTACAACCACGGCAGAGGTTATAAGAGGTTGCACCGGGGTGCAGTCCCAAAGGGCTTATTCCTTTCTGCCAAGCCAGGAACACTGCAGGAGGAAAAGCACCTATGACCAGTTCTGCCTCTGGGCATGCATACATAAATCCTGTTAATGTTGAAAAGACCTGGCCCTCTACCATGGATCACTCACTTTTTTTTGGTGGCATTTAACTGTAATCTCAGATAAAATGGACAGGAAAAATGGATTTCTGCATTTTGAAAGCTTCATTCTCTGCCAATTAACCATAGCCTGAACTGTGTTTTTGCAATACTATCACCATTCTGGCATATCTTAGTGTGTAAAGCTCCTGAATCTGCAGACCTGTATGATCAGATTTTTTTGCAGGGATCATCACACAAATCAACCCAACCTTGCTGAATTAAGTTGAGGAACTAACATGTAGGAGACTTAAATACATCAAAGCAGCAAAAGTAAATCAAATCCACCCATTCAGGGAACATCAAAAGTCCTGAAGTGTTTTGGTCAAGTTTGATATAGCAGCTTTGACTTGCCTATCATCAGACTGAAGAGAAGTGCTTTTAGCAGGCAACTCTGCTCCTTGTATTTCTCTGGTCTGCATCTCATTTGTGCCTGTTCTCCAACATTTAGCTCCTAAGTGGGGTGTTGGACCATGCCCAGAGTCCCTCAGTCCCAGTTCATTAGCTTGACTTCTAAGTAAACGAGGTGTCACCACTGTGGTGATCACATGCAGTTACAGCTTGATCTGTGTGCAGCCAACCTGCGAGGCCCAAATTTAAAGCATTGCTCTCATGCTGTGTGCTTTCCCCCTGCTGCGCCAGGGCTGTGATGTCCCTGTGTCCCTGTGTCCCTGTGTCCCTGCTCAGGGCACCTGGCCGAGGGAAGAGGCTGGTTCAGGTGTGCCTCCAACCCATTCGTGAGTCATCACCCAAAGACTGCTCCAGGACGCGATTCCTCAGCCACCAAACTCTGCTACAGCCCAGAAACGGCTGGCAAAGGACAGCTTTTGTCTGCACTTTAAAGCACTCTGTTCCTCTACAGCTATGTCTCAGCCAGGTATAGGCAGAACTTTCCATCTCCGTGTGCAAAATGCAAGAAGGAAGGAAGATAAGCCTTTTGATAAGGTAGGGGGAAACTCCTCTCTACAGAGTACTTGAGAGGGAGTTTAAAAAGCCATGAGTGACAAGAGAACAAGGCTTATGAATAATGTTAAACTGGACATTTCAGCTAAACAACGTTTTTCTCTGCTTATTCTTTATTTTCAACTTTATATTGATTAGCACTGCTAATGGGTTCAGGTGTACTTTTGCAGTTGATTTGGTTACTGAGAGAGAACTTGTTTTGAAAGCAAAGCTCTGTTCTCTGATAAGTGTTCCTAGACTTGTAATATGATTTTTTTTCCTTCTGTGATTTTAAAAACAGTGGAATTTGAATGCCTAAGAGATTTTTACCCCCATCTTTTAATAAAAAACAGTTTATCAAACACTGGCTGTTCTTAAACAATAAATTTTAGGGTTTTCATAATGAATGTCCTAAAATTCACCCAAATTCCTTTTGTTTTCTGCCTGAGAAAATACTTGAAATATTAAATAGCTACAAGAATTTTTAAAGCTGTTTTCCTGTGCAAAGATGGGATTTCAGGAAGCACTAATTCAGTAGGAAAGGTGGTTCTTTTGTTAGAGTGTCGGAACAAAATGTTCAGGTAACACTGAGTAACTCGATTAATCTTGTTCCCACATGTTCTCAGGGGCCCAATGAAAAACCTGACAAAGATTTTTGGGATCTGCTATTCCAAGGTCTTTATTAACTTGGGCGTATTTATCCATTCTGTTTGTGTTTTCACTATTCACACTGAAAACAAGACAAATACATTTCAAAATCTATAAATGAAAAAAGAGTGCTAAGACACTTCTCTTAATTTTTTTCTTAAGGATTGCACATTTTCAGAGACTAGATAAAAGTCATATGGCTGATATTACTCAATATGCTGATACTTCAATCTGAGAGACTCATATGTAGAAAAAGAGATTTCTTTTACCTACATAACTGTCTTCTGGTTTCTAGGAACATATGTACAGCTGTTTAAAAGATAAAAGTGTACCCATATCTTAGAGGATGGCAACTCTAAGATTACATACAAAATATTAAAACAAGAATTCTAATGGCTACATATTTGAACACTTTTGGCTTTATGGCTATTTCTATTATTACACTAAGAGAGCTGCTTAGGATACTGAGTAATGGAAAATGAATAGCTAAAAGTATAGCATATATTTCAAGCTTTTTTTTTTGTTGTTATTCTAATTACAATACCACTACTAAGCTCTTTGTTTTCATCAGCACCTTAAAAGTCAAGCTCCTACAGATTTTTTTATTTGCATACAGATTTTAAAAATAAATTAATAATGTAGCTTAAATTTCATCCAACCTTTCTTATTTGTAGTATAAGTTTCAAAGGTTCAGCCTTTGCCATTCAATCAGTGCAGATAAGACAGATTAGCAGTGTAAGGTACACACACATGCACTTCCACATCCTGCCCACCAAAGTTTACAATCAAAATAATAAACAGAGAAAAAATTATCAGTATGTACAGAAAAGAATTTGCCCTGGTTTCCCCCTGCTATTTTGTAGGTAATTTCTCAGCCAAAACCAAAGTTAGCTGCTTGTACTTTCTGATTATTTTTGTGAGATGAAAGAAACAGTGCCTATAGTGTGATTACAGACATGAAGCGTCATCTGGATAGCAGAAATCCTTACCCTCCAGTACATGGGACAGTCTCTGTGACAAGTGAAGTCCCTTTGGCTTTGATACACTGGACACTATGAAACAAAGCATTTTTTCTGTAAATATAATAGCTCTGCAAAACCCAACAAGTTACAAAACCACATTAGCAAAAATTATTTTTCTCCTCCATTTTCCTAGAAAAATAGCAATATCAGCTCTCTTGTCACTAAACCAGAAACAATTAAGAATGCAAGAAGTGGTTTCCAAGAAGCAAAAAAACTGCGCTGAATTTAAATAGTAACTTCTCATATGAAATAGAAGTGAAAAAACATTACCTTGACTGAAAATTCACCACTGAGCAGATACAAATGAGTGAAGTGCAACACGTCTCTGGGAACAGCTCCTTCTCCAGTATGAATGAGTCTAACTCATGGTTTTACTGCCCCTCCCTGAACACAGCAGACTCATCGCTCTGTTGATGACATCATATTCTTGGATTTTCTCCCACAATATATTGTAAAAACAATGTTTATCTACTGTATCCAGTGTGAGACCACTGATATTTTAATATGGGTGGCAAACACAAACACAGCTAAGATACCCATTGGATGTGTATGAAACAGTCATGTGTTTGTACAACAGCTCCCAGAATTGTGCATGAGCATGCACCCACACACAGCTTTTATCCCCATTTGGGGTAATGACAAGTGCATTTTTCATTTTACTGGTGTTAGAGGTCAACAAGCCAGCTTTCTGGAGGACTTGGATTTTTAAAACAGAAAAGTTCAAATATCTCATTTGCAGTCTAAGATATCTTTTTTTCAGTGGGAAAAAATTTACTGTTTGTATTCTGGAAAACACTGCTCTTTCTCTCTGACTACTCAGTCTGCTGAGAACAAGTACAGAATCCTTACTTAAAGATAATACTTAAAGATAAATACTTAAAGATTTAATTGGGCCAAAATTTCAAGGTTATGGAAGAAATCTCTATATTAATCAGAATTATAGCCAAACTCCAGAGCATACCCTTTCACTTACTACATTGACTTTTAATCTTGAAGGTCAGATAATTAACAGAGAACTAATTTTGGACTGTTTATTAGAGGCATAGATGGTTTTCCTGTACTATTTATGAAATTAAACTGAAATCTGAAATGGCAACCACAGCTGCAGAATTCCACACAAAGAACATACATTCATTCAAAGGAGAACTGAACAGAGAAAAAAACAGTTCACTCCCTTAGTTTGCTATAAAATTCTAATTCTGAAAGCGAACAATTCAGAAAAAAAAGCTGGTCTATATAGTGACTGGTGGTATTCACCAGTGAACATATCTGGCTCCCATTCTCCACTGGTTTGTCATTTACAGTTCTAGTGCAAAACACTTACTTGGTGTGTATTCTGACAGGAATCGCTGCTTTGTTTTTCAATGCTTTTCCTTTCTTTCTCTTTCTCGGAATAAAGGATGCTTGGTACATTTTCTGTCTTTATTGGATCTAGTTGAGTCATGCTCTACTATCAGCAATACCTCCCCCTGGTCTGTCCCTGATTTCCCTGCACCAGTTCCAGTTTGGTTGTGTAATCTTGAGACTCACAATCTCAAAGATCTTCATTCCACGTGTTTTTTTCAGTACTTTTTTTAACTCCTTATTCACTTGTATAAAAATTTTAGGACTACCTCTAGATTTTGTTTTTTTGGCTGGTGATGTATTTAATATTAAATATCAACATAATTTTGCAAATACAGTGCCTCAAAATTCTGCTTTGAAGATTTTAAATTTTATGTGTTCATAGGAGAAACTCTACTGACTCAATTGTAATGATGTAATAAACCCCAGCTATGGCCAGATCTACTCAGCTGCATTCAAGGTATGTGGAAAACTTCCGGAGGAGCAGGGGAAGTACTCTACAGCTTTTTCAGGAGGCTGAGGCTAGTGTTGCCAGCAGTCAGTCTGCTATGGAGGCTTGCTGAATGGTGAAATAAATGTATGCAGTCATCTCAAAAGCTTTAGAAAGGCTGTCATGGGGTGACTTTACTTTTAAGATAGCTTTGGGAGCTAAGGAACTTGAAGCTGCTGGTGGCTGATGGGAGTCTTTTCTTCTGACCAATTATCGGTCATTTCTAAGAACTGACAGCAGTTTTGACCATTGAAAAGTAAGATCAGCTTGTAAACACCACCTTAAGATGTAAAGCCAGAGTTCTCTCTTTCTTTTTGGGTTTCTGGCTTCTGACAAGGTAACAGGCTCTGTCTTGGCCTCCTTCCCCCCTCCCCTCCAGGCAGGACAAGGCCGCAGAGGGCGGAGAGGGGAGAAACGGAGCCGGCCAGCCTGGTTTAGTTTGTAGTTTCTGCTGCTGGACTGAAACCTGACACCATGAACATCTGCAGTTTTCCAAGACTTTAGTTCTTTTACTACCTGGATAAAACGTACAGATTACTCTTTTTTCCCAGAGAGAGAGAGACAATCAACATGAAGAAGACAGTGAAGAAAAGAGTTAAGTTTTAGATGGGGAAGAGAGAATAAGGAGATGCTTTATAAGCTGAAATATTTTTCTGTTAAAGCTATGGAGATAGACAATAATGTTCTGAAAAAAAACTCCTTTAATTCATGACAGAGTATATTGGGAGGAATGGAGTGTTCAAAGTGCGGATTTTGAGCAAAAAGTAGAGTAATTGTGATACAGTGAGGTGCTGGAACAGAGTAGAGCGAAGATTTGAGGTCTTGAGGGCAATGAGAAAACTGTTTTCCAGCAAAGCTCACAGAGACAGATGAAGAAGACTTTTGCCTTTGAATAACTTATCCTTAAAAAATGATATCCCTAGACTCATGGCCCATACACACCTCAGAGTGATGTGAAATGGGAAGACTGAACTGATGGCAGATTTACGGGCAGCTGGCATCAGAGAAATAGAAAACTATAACAGAAATAGTTTTCTCGTGAGAAACTCCATAGATTAGCAGAAAAAGACTTCTGTTTCTCTACAAAGACTGATGAAGAGGCTCTAGCAGGAATTGGGACTGTTTTAAACACCAAAGTTCCAAAGTTTTTTTTGTCTCTATGTTGTCACGTGTACAAGAGAATAGTTGGGTAGTGGGAGATAAAAGGGTTTTCTGGAAGTTTATTCTGGTGTTCTTATTCTTGTAGTTTTGTTAATAAATTTTCTTTATTTCCTTTTAAGTTTTAAGCCTGTTTTGCTCTTGTTCTAATCCATATCTCACATCAAGAAGTAAGTAATTTTTTTAGTTATTGCCTTAAAACCACGACAAAGGTGAAGCTGTGCAAGGTAGGAGCTATTAGTACACATTAGTATACATACAACCAGGGTTGCCCATCCCAGATGCAGAATCCAGCACTTTCCTCTGTTGAACTTCATCCAGTTGGTGATTCCCCATGTCTCTAATTTGCCAAGGTGTCTACAGGGCCTCTCAGCCCTTGAGGGAATTGACAGCTCATCCCAATTTAGTGTTGTTGGCAAACTTAGTACCCCTTCCAGCCCTGTGTTCAAGTCATTAATGAAGATGTTGACGAGCACATGATGATGGAGCCCTGTGGAACCCCTATGAGTGACAGGTCCCCAGTCTGATATCACCCCATTCACTGCAACCCTTTGTACCTGACCTGTGGGCTGGCTGCTCACCCAATGTTTAACATGATTATCCAGCTGTGGGATGGACATTTTGTTCAGAAGGATGTTGACAGTAACAAAACTTTGCTGAAGTCTGAAAAGACTACGTATGCCTAATGACTTTTCTAAAACAAGTGGTGGGTCAACCTGTTGGAGAAAGAGATCACGTTTGATAAGCAGAACTTTGCTCTCATGAAGTTGTGCTGGCTGTGACCAAGGACTATATTGTCTTTCAGGTGTTTTTCAATACCTCCCTAAGTAATCTGCTCCATAACTTTACCAGACACTGAAATGAGACTGACAGGCCTGTAGTTTCTAAAATCCTTCTTCTTGCCCTTCTTGAAAATTGGGACAACATTTGCTAACTTCCAGTCAGGTCCAAATTCCCAAGATCACTTGGAAATGATTGTGAGAGGCTTTGCAATTATGTCAACTAATTCTTTGAGAACTCTCAGATTAATCCCACCAGGCTCCATAGATTTATAGGGATGCAGCTGGAGCAGCAGATCCCACAAAATTTCAGGGTCAACTGGGAGTTGATAATTCTTGCAGTGATTGTCCTCCAGCTCAGGGCTCTAAGAACCCCTTTGCTCATCACTGGTGCTGAAGACAGAGGTAAAGCATTAAACACCTCTGCCTTGTCCCTGTTTGTGAGGTGTCCATCCTCATCCTGGAATGGGCCGATGTTGTTTCTACACTGCATATTGTCATTAATATATTTGGAAAAAATATTTATTTATACTTTTTATTTTATTTTTTATTCTACATATCTGGAAGCTTCAGCTCCAGCTGAGCTTTGGCCACACTAATTTTCTCCCTACAGTGGCAAGCAGCATCTCTGTACTCCTCCTATGCCACCTGACTTTGCTGCCACCGGGCGTACACTCTGAACTGGGTTACATGGCAACATTGCTGCTCAGTTAGCATTTATTTAAGAAACTGAGAGGGAATGTATGCAAACATTTGGCTCTGTAAAGCCAAGACAACAAACAGTGAATAAAGAGTAAAATGTAAGGAGGGAATTGGTTGCCTAGGTAGTTGTTCAGGACTGTTGCAAGCACTTTCTAGGGCAAAAAAATGTTACCATGTAATTTTACGTACTGATTTCTGACCTTTTCAAAGAATGTTTTGATCTTTTTGGCCTACCAGCTCTGCAGATTTGGAAGAAGGAGGCAGTCCTTGGCTATTTGGCATGGACTAAGAACTTTGTTGGTATTTGAGCAGGAGTCCCCAGTCTCCATGTGAACAGGTGACTTCCACTACTGGCCACGCAAGTGATAGAAGCTACTTTCAGACAAATGCAGCTCTTTGAATCTTTCTGTGTATATGCATACACTGGTCAGTCTCCTAGAAAAAGCTATTTTTGCAGCTAAGCCTGTGTATTACTTCCCCTGCAAACTTAGTGTTTTTCCAAGACTCACTAATTAAAATTAGCAACTGAAGATATTTGGGTAACTTTCTCTAAAGAGGATACTGATTAATTTCCTTTTCCTTGTCCTGAACTGATCCAATTATCCTGAATAAGTTGTATCAGGACAGTTTTATAGCATTTGTAAGGGTTCTGTGTCATCACTGAGTCTTGGCTTCTTGGGATGCCTTCTGGTTTAAACATCTGTTCATTTTGGTCAGTTATATTTTTCTAGAATGAGAACATCTTTTTTGTCTCCTATGTGTTTCCAGTCCTTAAATGTGTTGCATTTATTTTAAAACCTCTTTTTAGTAATTTGTAAATACACATTTTTTTTCCTTTCTAAAATTAAGAA